AATATCAATTCTTCATTCTTGATATAAAGAATCCTTGGTCTTACATAATTTTATTATTTTGTTTTCTATACCAGGCTTTCTGTTCATTGTTATTGCAGTCATTTTTCCTTTAGGTATAAAGTTTTTTTGTAATTGTGGTTTGATGTACTATTAATATCTATTAAGGCAGTTGCAAGAGAGCTTCTCTGTTTCATAAGATCAATGTGCTGCTCCAATAAGTCATTTTTGCTCTTTAGTTTCTTATTCAATTCTGTTAACAATAAATTTTTCTCTTTTAAATGTTTTATTTCGTTTTGGTAATTCACACTGGTTTTACTGAAAACATCATTTTATGTTGAGTTACTAGATGTAAGTCTGTTTCCATCAATTCTCATTTGTTGGTTTCCTTTCTTACAATGTTCTTTTCTTTTATACGATAACACTAGGTCCTTTTGACAATTTTTAAGTTTATTTACTAATTTGTCTACAAAATTATTTCTCCCTAATTCAATTTAATGTATTTTGCCAATTTGGAGGTTAACTTATGATCACAACTGCATATCATAAATATTCCACCAACTCCTCGTAATTTTTTTTCTACACAACTAATATGATAAAAAGCACTACAAAAGAAGCATACACACACACGCCTGATATTAACTTTTCTCTACAGCACGTAAAAAAAGCAGGAGCAGGTAGATGGCCTAGTTATACATCCGTCGTTATTGCTCATTACTTTTAAATATTTTTTTAAAATTATTTTTATGCTTCGAAATTGAAGAAAATCTTAAAATGTAAACTTTGGACATTATAGTGAAAAAAGTAGTTCCTAAAATACCAGCTATGTGTGGTTGATAGAATTTCTAGATATAACTAAAATAAAACTTTTCTATACAAAATATTTCTGTGGACGAAGTGATCTAAATGATAAAATAGCCAAAAATCATTAAACATAACAATTAAAAAAGGTTTTTTGCTTATTTTAATTATAAGTTGATGATTTCTTACAAAGTGTAACACTTAAAATTTGTAGATATTGATGAGACTAGCGGCCCCCCGTCTTTGCCCGAAACTCACTAACTGGAACACCGTAGAGTGTTGATATGTAATGTAAAACGTTTTCAGTTAAAAATTTTACATCTATTCCTGACATTTCTCAAAACAAAGATCTTCTAATTAAAAATTTGTATATTTGTTCGGAATCCATACATTTTATTGTGTCAAAGAATAAGCTGTGGATAGTGAAAAAATATAATTTCGCTGAAAAGTACCGTGCATCCCTTATAACACAAAATAATCTTTGGACCTAAAGGGTCGTTGATTTGCAGTTTTTTCCGTATAATCTACGAAAAGGTCTATTTTTTAAGATGTAAAAGTTTGAAACTCACAAAAAATATGTACTAAAAAAATTTTTTTTCTCTTATCTCGCAACTTTTTTACCAGAGCAACAAAGTCCTGAAGCTTAGTCTCTACATTTTTTGTCGCCCCATAAATACAAATACATATTCTAAGAATTAAAAAGTCTGGAAGATTTAAGAGATTACTGTAAGGGTACAATAAAAAGCTGATTTTTCACGCAATAAACTCTTTATTTGTCGATTTTGACGCTGCTGTTTCAATCTCGATAAATGTTTTGCGTCAGTTTCTTGATGCTTAAAACTGTATTCATAAGAGGTATTTAAAGTTTTTCTTCCAATTGGCCCTCTTGCGACTTTTGGCACGATTGAGAATTTCATAAGCCCATAAAACTATTTTTTGTCAAGTTTATTGAGTTCTAATATATTTGTTGGCAAGGTTGTTTAACATTCGATGGCCCTAAAAAGGACCAGTATGCTTTTTAAGTGAACTGTTTCTTGACGTGAAGTTTTCAGCAAACGTAATTGCCTTTATACCTTAGGGTTATCTTCTCTGGCCTGCTGTTGTAGCACCAGACTGATCGTAAGGAAAACTACAAAGTTTGAAGATTTGGAGCTGGTTGTAAAGCTCTTTCCCAACGTCTCCTGGTATTACGCTGAAGACGTCGGTATCTAAAGCACCTTCTTTTTTGCAGACTCAGTTGTTTTGGTGATCTAAGGTATAGAGATTGGTTCGCGATGCTTGCCCGTTGGAGGCTGTCCCATTTGCTCAAGTAAATTTTTCTTTTATTTCTGTTAGGTTCTTCTAGCGCAGACCTTAGAGAGAATCAGTTATTACTGGTTGAATGCTTAGAGTCGAGAAGGTAGTACAGGCTTGTTGGTCACCGGGGTTCCCAGCCTTGCGACGAACAACTCTGCTTGTAATGTCTGCTAGTGAATGACTGACTGACTTGGTTTAATAGTAGCAAGCTTTACATAGTCTTTAAGTCAACGAAATATATTTGTTGGCAAGATAGTTTAAACTAACGTGATCCTTAAAAGGACTGATGAGATTGATGGTAGCGGATTCTACTGAACTTACGTGTAAAGCCAGCGTATTTTTGCCACACATTAAGTGTATTTACTGCTATTCTTATCAGTTTTTTTAAGATGAAAACTATACTAAAACCAACTAGAAAATGTTAATAATCAGTATGCAAAATTTTAGCCAGATTGGTTGATTAGTTTTCGCGGTAAGCGATTACAACGGTTTCAGCAACTTTGCTTTATATATTAGTAAGATAAGATATATTCAAACCTTACATACGAAGCGCTCAAGAAACTTGTGGTTTGTGATGCTAACGGGATGGCTGGAGTCCAGGACTTGATTGCAGTAGAAAATTTGTCATTGATTTCATGACAAAAACAGTACTTTGATATTAAATTCTCAAAGCAAAAAGTCTGCAGCGATATGAGACAGCTTAAGACTTGACGATGAGACGAAAGCATCTATCACGATAGCTTTACTTTATTCTACTGCACATGTCAAAGCTTAGTCTCTTTCATAAATTTAGTCACTTGTTATGACACGTCCATGACTTAGAAAACAAGTTGTCTCGGTGCTTTAATAGTAAAACAGATAAAGTAGAATGGGATGTAGTCAGACAACGTCAAAAATGCTGGATATAGTAGCGCATCTAGAGGAAATAATACTTTGTTTATTAGTTTGTAAAAAAATGTTCTAACTAAAGTTTCTTAATATTCCTGAATCTCTTTTTTGTATATTGTGTTATGTACTACAGGGAAGACAAAAAAATGTTTTATTGATCTGTATAAGTATTTATTCGATGTGTTTACCTTAAATGATGTTTTGGTCAAATTAATTAATTTATTTAAACGTATGTTTTGAACTACAATTTTTTTATTAGCATTAAGTCATTTTGAAAATGTCAGTAACCTGTAAAAGGTTCTATTACAACTAGTCATACTTAAAGTAGTACTAGTCCAAAATCTATACCTACTTTACCTACACAATTGATTACTGATTGTGAATCCTGACATTTAAATAAAGCTGACAATCCTACCCATCCTTTGGATTAAAACTCAACCAACCAAATAGTTGTAGTTGTACTTTTTGCAGTAATGAACATCATGATATGAATAGTAAACTTGTTATTAAGGAGATGATAACGCTTGACTCTTTATACAATGTTGGTTCTACAATTAGTAGAATTTAAATAAATAATGAATGTGGGTATTTGCAAACATTTCGAGTGTATTCAAATTTTGAACCAGTAGAGGACGTAACGTTACCTAGCCCAAACAATTACTTTGCAACAATTAAAGCCTAATTGTCGTGTACAGTGTATCCCATTTATTTTGTGGATTATTTATTGGACAATTTCTTAAGCTACCGAAATAAAATTAGCCCAAATACTATTACTAAACCAAGTTTTTAATAATATAACGGTAGAAATAAAACGTTTGAAAAAAACTAAAGCCTTCAACAATTTTCAGCAGAATAATAAAGGTAATATTCTTATTACGTTTATAAATGACCTAAACAACGGGTATTTTTCTTGTCATATTAGATTTCTATTCAATATTTATGCCTCTAGAATATGTTACTTACCACCACAGATAAACTTAATTATTCACCTTTGAGGAATAAATTTTTTATGCTAACTCTTGATTTCGAAGCCAAGAAGAAAGTTTCTTTAAAAAAATAGCCTATAGTGGTGATTGATAGTGTGATACATTATTTGAAAAAAAAAAAGAGAGAGCGAGAAAATTATTGAAAAAGAAATAGCTATTAATTAATACACCATAGTGGTAAACATGCAAAAAAAAGAAAAGTTTAATAGTCGAAACTTAAACTACAAATATCAGAACATAGGAAAAAAAATTTTAAAATGAAAAAAGGCATCAACTAGAAAATAAGATATGCAAAAAGCTTTTTGAAAATGAAAATAAATGAATTGAAAGAGATGCAAAAAAGCTTTCACACCCAAAAAACTTAACAGATACTTATTAAACAAAACAGTTAGGACTATTCCGATTTTATTATTTACTTAACATATAAAAAAAATCCTCATTGATCTGCTTTTTTAAGAATCTCAATACGATTAAAAATAGTTATTAACCTTCTGCTAATAAAAATAATATTGTTGGGTATATATTTGAAAAAGATTTATCATATTTGTCCCACTACTACTGCATCCAATGTCCTACTACCAACGTAACCCTTGAAGATTACGTCACATGACTACAGATTTTGTGACTTCTGGAAATAAATGATTTCATTAAATGTATGATCATAAAGGAATTCTATCAGTACTCTATTTTACCTTGCATTCACCAATAAATTTTTTTTTTACGTAAAGTATAAAATAAAATTTTTTTAATTAATTATAGTATACTCAAACCTTTAAGACACAAGAAAAAAGTTTTTGTCTAAAATATACAATTTATACCTGTACTTTCACAATTCTCACATTACTTGACGTCATAGTTAAAAGATTTTTAAAGAAACATACATCACACAAACGTATTATTACAATTTTTGTTGCAACAATTTTACTCAAGCTAGAGTAAAGTCGTCATCTTAGAATATTAAAAAATTTCATAAATTATCTTACAGTCCTTTTTTGTTTGATCTCTATACTTTGATGATTAATATTATTACAGAATGAGTTCAATGAACCGAGCATCAAGTATTCCATCATTATCTGCTGTCAGCTTATCCAAGAGGTAATTCAGCATTTTCGTTACTTTTTAACTTATACTTTTATATTTTGCTTATTTAATATTAATCCTAAAAATTAGCATAATTATTCAATCTGAGATGATGTCTCGTATGATAAAAGTCATTGCTGTTATGTCACACAACTTGTATAAGCCTTCTTATCCGTAGATACTATTTTCTGTGTATGTCAGGTACATCATAAAAAAAATTTTAAATTGAGTGACCACTAAGTTAATTCATGTATGGGTGTAGTAAAACAGCAAAGGCCATACTGATATTGCAGTTCACTGAAACAATAAAAAAAAAAAATTGAAAAACTGTACGGTAGTTTTAAATTTGTCAACGTTTAATTTGTTGAAGTGAGAATTATTTTTTACCGTAAAGGAGCGTAAGATATGATATACAAGACAAATTTAGTAATTTCTAAACCACAAAATATTAGGCAATAAGTCTATTAACATAAAATGTGTAAATTTTTACTGGCTCTTCCTGTGCTTTCTTTTGATCCTTATCAAATGTTTTCAGGCTACAATTTTACTTTCAATTTTTTTGTTCAGTTTTTTATGTAATTCTTTTTCTCCGTGTGCTTAAAATTACAAATGTAATTCTCACTGACAGTTACATTTATGTAAACATTCTTGCTTTGCTGTAAATATGTCAACTTTTTGTCATAACTGTCGTTGATAGAATGATTTATGACTCTCACACAATTTCGGATATTTTATTTTTCTTTCAGTACATAAATAATAGTCTATAAAAAAGCTATGTATATGTAAAAAAATTATGACTTATTATTACTCGTCTACTTTTCGGAAAAAGGATTACTATACTAAAATTAAGAATATGCAAGAAAACGTATAACATTCAATTGCTATTTGCATTATATTATTTTTTTGAATGGATGTTGAAAAATCTTGTGTTCTAAAAAATACTTGGAGGTTGAGTCAGATCCTTGCCTTTCTAATTAAAAATAATTTAAGCATAGTTAGCTTATTTATCCTTTTTAAGCTGCTCAGTTAACGAAATTTATGTACGTCTTAAAAAACTCGAATGGATTTCAGAAACAAGTAATAACATTTGCACACCAATAGCAGCACGAAATTCTGCTGTAAAATTTTTCACAGATCTTATCGTATTAAGCTGCTAACTCTGCTCATTTTTTTTTTATTTGTACCCTTACTATATTCCTTTGCTATTTCTAAAGTTCAAATATTTCTGGAGTACCTGTTTACCCCTAATTTATCTTTTTATAAATTTTCCCACTTAATGTCTTAAGTTGGTATTTGTCCTAATATCTGCCTAAAAGTAAGAGCTCACTGCCATATATTAGCTGTGATTGTATGCATTGTGACGAAGTTGCAGCGTTGAGCACATGCATGCAGGTGCCTGACTGTAGTAAATCTATGGATACTTGCTTGTGTGTGTGCTCGGAGCGATCTGGTAATGCCTCTCAGGCCAAAAGTCGTGCACACGCGCTTGGCGAGCGGCGCTGACGCGACTCAGGCATGGAAGGTGTGGCTTGTTGATCGGTGGTGGGTATAATGCTCGTGACAGCGCCTCCAGTTTTGAGGGAGTAGAACGGTCTGGAACGTGAGGACCAAACCGGTGAAGGTGCCGGTACGATTTGCCGATGAAATTATTATGCCAATAAGGGTGAAGGGATGATCAAATAAATAAAAGAGGGCACTGGTGCATTAATAGCCAATCAGCAATCATTGATTGACAATAGGCGATCGATCAAGGATTGTTGGTAGGGATTTTTCCGAGGTATCGAGCAAGGAGAAGTAGCTGGAACGCGCAGTTCGATTTTTCGCTATTTCCCGTTTCGTTAACTTTATCGTGGTTCAACAACACGAGAAATTTGGAGCAGCATCGAAAGTTTACTGTGTGGCTCACAATTCGTCTGGGCTTTCTTTTAAGGGTCTTGTGACCGGAGAGAAAGCTCTAGGGTCTTGGCTGGCTGGGTGCGATAGGGTGGTTGCGAGAGTTGGTGAGATGACTGAAGCCGGAGCTGACATCTAGGACCAAGAGTCCCTTGGAGTCGAAGGTCAAGAGGAAGCCAGTGAATACGTTGTGTCTGTTGAGGTGCAGTAGGTGTAGTGTGCGCAGGGTACGCGATAGTGAAGACGACGCGTTTCCGTGACCCTCACTTCAGGGTAGCGGGTTTCTGAGGCTGGGTGTTAGTGGTTATACGTGACGCAGGGCTACGGAAAAACTCGGGTCGCGATGCGCACGTCGTGCCCTCCTCGAGCAAAGTGGGCAGTGGTTGCGGATTCGTGATTAGCGGCTACGGGTTTCACAAGTAGTTGCTCTTTGGGGGTACCCTAGTGGCTTCTTTATAGGCGAGTCACCGGTGGTTATTTGATAAGGGAAAAAGTATTAACTGCTATGCGGGGCATTTTGGGTTGCAACGCTGGGGTACGACGGTTGCATCAAAGAGGTCAAAGCCGCGCAGTGGTATTTACATAGCATTGTACCCAGGCTTGTGGTGTGTGAGTGCTCAGCTGGCCAGGTACAACGTTAGAGCATGTATTCATTATCTTTAGTTTTTTTATGATACCAACTTATACAAATATGAGGAAAATAACTTACTATGAAAAAAAATATATCATAAAAAAGTAAGTTTGCAGAATATTGTTGTGGTGCATAGAGAATATTTTAAGATGACATTGAGTTGTATTAGCATTCTTCAAGGGGCTAAGTCTGTTTCATATGCCTACACAATAATATTAAAAATATACAACTTCGTCTGTAACTAAGCAGAATATTATACTGCAACACTTCTATGCATTGAAAATAGTTCGAAAATTCATTATATAGCATCACTTGTTACGGTTTATCCTGTTAAAGATAAAGCGGTACTACAGGATGGTTTTAATTAATCTTTCAAACACAAATATATTGCGGATATTGAATATAGACTAGAAATGAGTGTGTGAGTTCGAGGTTTGTCCGGATAGTGTCAGGCCTGCTTCTACAACTTTGGGCTAGCGTTATTCTTCATCATGGCATCCTTCAAAATAATCCCTATTTAATTGAACAACATGGTTCCAGTGATGTTTCCACTTTTCGAAACAGTCTTGGAACTACTTTTATAAATAGCCTTGACTTCTCTTGTCGCATTATCCTTAACTGTCGTTTTTTCATCAAATCGCTGTTCTTTCAGGATCATAACCATAAATTCATGACTCATAACTAGTAATAACCTTTCTAAGCAAAGTATAAGCATTATTCACCATTTCTAAGTTGTCCTGTGCGATTTCTACGTAGAGCTGTTTTTGCTCTGCACTGAGCAATTTTTGTAGAAACTTCGCACACACGCGTGTCATTTGTAAATTTGAGGTTAACATTTCCCAAATTATAATTTTGGAATTCCCAGGTCTTTTTCTAGTTTCCGCACAGTCATACGATGATCTTGTTCGATTGCAAGTCACACCCGCTCAATATTATCCAATGTTTTTGTCGTCAAAGGTCGGCCAGAACAAGGATTACTATCAACAGAAGTACGGCCTTCTTTAAAACGATTAAGCCACTCTTTTAGTCATGTTTTGCTCATCCACTCATTTTCAAAAGCCTTTTGCATCTCTAGAATAGTTTTTCAGAACTTGTTTTTCCAAGCTAAAAGCAAAATTTGATGCAAATTGTTGATTTTGCTCTTCAGTCATTTTTAACAATCACGAAATCTGCTAAACTCAAAAGTATCTTTGTAAACAAAGACGCGCTGCTCATTAACTGTGCGTCTGGAAGGTATCAACGAGCAACCACTGAGTTCGTAAGGCCTTACTGTTTACGTTTATGCACCACAGACATTGCTCGAACATTACGGCACAGAGATGCAGAGATAGGCCTGATACTTTCTGGACAGACCTCGCATATGTGACAGATATAAACGTAATGTTAAAGATTTAATTCGCGTAAGTGGTAAAAAGTTGTTTTGAAATCATCGGAAGATTCAATAAAAGCTCACAATTATGTACTAGCCAGCCTATCCTTTGTTTATATTGTATTATGCTGTACTACATTGTTTATAATCTTTTATTTATAAAATATTAATGTATTAGATGTAACTACACTTAATTAACGTAGGATACTCATTCACACAATAATTACACCACCATTGTATATAATATAGAAAGTATATTTAAATTCATAATTATACTGTCTGTCATACAATTTTATAGAAGTATGACTTCATACTTGGGTACTCAAGCACCCACCGTCTACTGGATTGGAAATCCTCTGTATCTTTATCTTTTAATGAGCTATTGTACATTATTTATCAACTAGCTAATAACTTAAATCTTTTATTTGATTATTAACATGATATTTTGTGTTGAAAAATTTTATGACAGCAACTTTGACATTTTTTTTATGACTATAACTTTAGCAGCTTATACTTTATTTTCTTCTCTAATAAGTGCATTCCTATACGATTTTTAATATTACTATTTATATATTTTTAATCAGGAGACTTGTTCTCCTTGAAATCATGTCCATTTTTAATTTCTGTACTTTATTGGACCTGAGATATTTCAGCTGCTATTTTTGCAAATAGAAGTAAATTAATAGAATTCTGTTTATTTATAAATAAATTTTTAAATTACATCATTGTTTTCATAGAAATTCGTACGAAAAACCTTTGTGGCTTGTAACTTCTATT